CAGAAAATACCGAGGGAAAGCAACAACAATACGCGATTTGAGCTCAACGACTCAATCGGAACAAACATCCCTTTTGATATTCGCGTTTTTGCGGCTTGTAAAATAAATTCGTTACGACGCGGCGCCGAGTGGCTTTCGTGAAATATTAGCTCACGTTTCTCGAAATGAAGTTACCCGTCGGACGTACGCGGTAAAAAAGTGCGTTTTCAAACTTTACCAGAATAGAACTTTTCGAGCGTGTTTTCGTCACATTCCCTAATAAGACCCGAATATTTTATGAATCACTTGAAAGTAATCAGCTCCACATTTTTATGTTAGAATCATATTATTACAATCAAAGGAACATCCATCTCGTGACTGATTATTACGTCGTGAGCAACGATTTTAAGAGTGTTATTGGATAATAATATCGCCAACTGTACTCGTAAATGAATGAGATAAACTTGCGTAAACGATTTACCTACGATAAAATAACATTACATGGCAACGGAGCGTGAAAGCTTGCCGCTTGCTCCGTAAATTCTCACGTTGAATTTGTATTCAGACCAGCCTTTGTAATGGACGGCGCTTTCTTTATGCTATCGAGGACTTAAGTAATACGGCAGGGGCGTTAAGTCGGCGTATCGATTAATGAACAAAAGGGATGGCGAGTGCGAGAGAATCCGACTCCTACTTATATTACGCTGCGGTTACAAAGGCTAAGGAGTATGGAAACCTCCCTTTTCTCGCCCTCGCCATATTTACATAATAAATATCGCCGAAGATGAGAAACGATTTCTGCAACGTTCTCCATGTCCATGTCGCGAGCTCGGACCGATTTCCAGTGATGCGCGTCGATAAAGGGACGGGCGCGGCAACCGTCTCGTGAAAATCCATCCACTGACAATAACGAGAGGGCGCGAATGTGGAATTCGATGTTCCTGCCTTTCGCCCTCTTTCACCCCCTCTTTTCGCCTCTCGTGGCCGAACGCGCGCGAACGATGCGACAGTAATAATACGGCGATAACCCAATTAAATAATTTTTCGGCAGAGTCGCCGATAATTTGCGCGTGCATCGTAATTGAGCTCTGTGCAATTCCGCGAGGCACACAGTCGATTACGATTTCCCATCGCCGATGAAATCCAGCCGATACGTCGATAGCAGCGATACGCAGCGGCGCGTGCATTAATTCGCGCCGCTCGTGTTCCGGTTCGTTGTAATTATTCTAACAATATCAATAATAGCGGCCACCGTCCGCGGCGTACGTTCGCGAGACACTCGGGGCCCCGATAAATCCGGTCGCGAAATCGATCGCCTCGATTGTACACGCGAGACCTCGTACAATCGCCGCCGATAAATACTCCGCCGCAACGTCCCTCGCGTTTTTCTTCCCCAATTACAGCGCGCGCGCGCGCGCGAAAGAGAGAGAGAGAGAGCTGGAAAATATTTCTTATACGACTCCCCTGTCCCGCTCTCGCGCCGTAAGGTTTCCTCGCCTATTGTTTCCATCGGGCGCAATTTGTCTTCTGGACGAAGATAATATCCACCCTGTTTTACAAGCAAGGCACGACCGCCGACGCACGACTCGATTAAACTTTCCCTGCCCGTTTTCCCGGGTCCCGCCTTCCGACGGCTTCGACCATCTTTCTGTCAAGAAAAACATATGAGTGTTTACTTCCCGAGTATCGCGGAAACTTTGGCGCCCATCACGGGACCGTTGTTGAAACTGCCAGTATAAGGTCTCTCTTTCTCTTTCTCTCTCTCTCT